TCTCACCTAAAAATAATTCATGATGAGATGCTGATTTCACTTATATTTAATATTCTACATATACCTGTAGAACACAAATTTATATATGTATATGTGTGTATATTGTGACTGATATTTTTTGCAGGGCTGCTAAAAACATACATGTATCTTAACCAAACCCACCTGGGACTGCCATATTCTCCAGTAGTAACTAAGGCTTTGCTCCTGCTTTTCAGTTATCAAAGTAATTCACATACTAAAACATTTCAAGCCTATTTTCTTTCCACTGACTGCTCATGCATAGGTAAATAATGGTCCTGGATATGGTAAGAATCCTTCTATAATATGAGATGATTGATTTTCTAAATTTATATGTTTATTATATGGATATATATGTATATATATCGTATATGTGTGTATCACCAGTTGCTTTAAAGCATTTTATTGCTATTCAGTATCATAATCGAGGGGAAAATGTCTTGAGATAGAATGACAGTTTTAAGAGGCCATTAAATTTCCACATTTTGCAAATATGAGTGTGCTTCAACCAGGGAAAATGGCATTGGCAATCATGCCAAAAGCATGAGGTGTACTATAAAAGGAAAACAAGATTCAATTGTCAAGGCCAGAGGGAGTAGTAAGGAAATGGTCTCACTTAACACTTTAAAAGGCAATATGCTAAGTACCTGCAGGCTGCACTTTATGTATACAGTTTCTCTCAAGTGGAATTAGTAACGGAAATAATTCAGAGAGGAAACTGATACAAACATGAATATGGTGTTCAGATTTACACAGCAATCTGCACTGACTTTTGTAAAACTGTCATGAATCATAATTAAATTTGGATTTCCAGGTTGAGAGAAACAATGATATATGTTGTTTTATTCTGAGCAACGCAGCATTAACCACCTCTCCAAAAGGGTAAGTTTCAGAGATCTGGTCAATAATAGAATAATTTGGCAAGTTTATATCTGACTTCACTAGTTTACAATTTACTTCTTCATTCCCTTTTTATCCATTGGAGAAAAGGTTAATAACTGATAGTCTAAGGGAAGGTATTTTTATCCACAAAGACTGAGTCAACAACTCACTAATTACAAGCTATTAAGTCATCCTTTCTTCCATATAGTTAATACCAGGAAAGTTACAGTACAGTCATGGGCTGCATAGCGTCAGTTTGGGCAACATCCAACTGCATATACGTCTGTGGTCCCATAAGGTTATAACAGAGTTCAGAATTCCCAGTCAGAGAACCAGACATAGCAGATGTGACATCTTTAACATAATAATACAGTCATAATACTGTTTTATGGGTGGTAGCACCCGTTTCTTATTATGAACCATTGTATATACAACAGATTTTTTTTATTGTACTTTAGATGAAGGTTTACAGAACAAATAGTTCCTCATTAAACAGTCAGTACACATATTGTTTTATGACACTGGTTAACAACCTCACGACATCAACACTCTCCCTTCTCGACCTTGCAGGGCCTTTTTTTTGGTGAAAATATACATAGCCAAAGTTACACCATTTCAAAAGTTTCTACATGTACAATTCAGTGACGTCAATTACATTTTTCCAGTTGTGTTGATATTCTATCCTTTTCCAAATTATTCCATCACCATTATCTTCAACTCCACTGCCCCCTAGGCTTCCCATCAAACCTTTTGAGTTGCTGTTGTCAATTTGATCTCACATTATTATTCTTTTTTTGTTCCTTAGATGGTTTGCAGAACAAATAGTTTCTCATTAAACAGTACATATATTGCCCTATGACAATGGTTAACAACCCCAT